GGGTTCACTTTCCTGACATCACATTATCTGACCTTTTCCGCTTGACTCATACATATACTAGATATTGCAAATAAGGGAAACCATGGGACCTATGTTTCTTAGTTAGTCGGAGATCAACATTGTGAGCAAAGGGAGCAAAGTTCCAGTGTTCTGCAATAGCTTCACAAGCTGAAAACTAAGCAAAGAATAAAAACAAAACAGAATAGTCAAAGATCACTGGTATTTATTCAGAAATCGCAGGGTATCATAGCAGAAATATGCCTGCTAGTCAAAGAACTTGAAGAACCATGAGATTTGGTTTTAAGCCAACAATGGGATTTGGTTTTTAGTCCACTAATTCCTAACAGATGGGAATGTGGTCATGTGCATGAAAACATGTAGAGAATAACCCTAGAAAGAATATTTATTGAAATTCTCTATGCTAAAAATATTCAAGTGTTAACAGCAAATATAATGGGGCATTTTGGAAATTCCTTCAGCATGAAACATTAGCAACAACATCTTACTCTAAGCAACATGATCAACATCACGATCACAATGTAGAGTAGTATGAACTGGACTTAGTAGGACACATATTGTACACTGTTTGTATATGGCAATCTAATATATAGTATTAGATGTCAGAACTGTTGGACATCTAGGCCTCAGGCCAACATCAAGAAGAATGTGACTCCTGCTAAGGGGAAAACTTTCAATCTTTATTAAGATTGACATGAAAGCTTATCATTTTAAATCCATACTCATAATATCTCATCCTACTCCTGTAAAAAACAGGAATTTTCCTTATTCTGTTTAATGACCTACAAGAATAGTATTCTGGTGCAATCCAATCTTACCTTCTCAGTTCCTTTGATTATTTTCTTCCTCCCACTGAAATAATTTCATTAGGACTTTAGAATCAATGCAGATGTCACCCAGTATGCTTTGTTTATAAAAGTGAAATAAAGGAAGATTGTGAGATATAAGGAAAGCACTAAGAATTGCATTTTCAAGAAAAAAATGATGCTTCATAATTTTTACTAACTTTATAAGGCCTATAAACCATATAAATAATGTAGAAAAATAGTTTCCCATACTGTCATATGTATTTCTTATTTTATTAAATACATGGTGATGTTTGTGATTTTTATTTATTTTTAAATTTTATTATCTTCAAGTCATTGCACAAAGACGTTATCATTCAACAGAGCAGTTCATGATTGCAGTGCATCATGATCAGTGTGGGTGATTTCCTTAAATAAGGTCATTTTATTTTCTCTTGTTTGATTTCCAGAGAAACTATTGCTAGTTGTATCAATCCTTTGCCTATGAAGGCTCCCTTCATTATATTTTATATCTTTTCTTCTAGCTCATTATTTTGGAAAGACAGACCCTCACAGTATGATATTCTCAGAACGTAAAACACACCTATATTAATATTTTTCTCTTTGGTTGCAGTTTTCCAGCTGGGCAGTACAGTGAGGCCTCAAACAAAAGGTATCTGGATGTGGTGTTTGACTCACCCAACAAAACCAAATTTCACCTTGGTCCTTCTGGACACTGAAGGTCTGGGTGATGTGGAAAAGGTAAATCAAAATCATGGAGAATTCTCCTTTGGTTGTATTTCTTAACTTACCATATTTTACCTTAATTAAATTTCCACTGTTAATTCAATTCCTACAACTACAAATCCAGTTATGAATTAAGGCTAAATTTTCTCTTTGCATTACTCTGATATACCCTAATATTTTGATGAATTATTATTCTTTTTAAAAACTTTCCTGCTTTTTCTGACTTTGTTTTTTTGGAATTGGTCACTAGGTCTACCCATTCTTTGTTCTTTTATTAGTCTTGGGCATCAAAATCAGATTTTCTACATCCTAGACAGTGTTCTACCAATGCGATAAAACCTTAATCTAGTGTAGACATCTTAATGTGAGATGGTAGTGACATTAAATTCTACCTCAGACACAGGGAGCATGTACATGTGCTATCAGAGATCTTCCATAAGGAAATATTTTCCTCTACACTGTCAGCTGCTCATTTATTTGTCATTCATATCAGCATAAAAGAAAGTCTATTTATGTTTTGATTTATGCTTCTGGTATTGGTTATTGGACAAAGTAGTGCCTTGCATACATACTAGTTATATGCTTACCACTGAGCTGGACTCCGGTCCCTATACCTTGTTTTTGCTTTGTTGCATCTTTGGATATTGAGAGTTCTTTCAGTTTGTTGTCCGTGTTATGATGAAATATTCTCTGCAGCTGAGAATATGATACAATGTAGTAAATACTCACTAAAGATACCAATACTAAGTCCCTAATCTACATTCTATAGATCCATCAGTACAAGGTAAGGACCTAGTTCAGGAGCCAACACACATTTTGTGTAACCAGTACAGGTGCTATAGATGTCCAGAAGTGGCCATATAACCCAGCTATATAGGTCAGATGCTATTTCCTAGGAGTATGGACTCTCAGCACTCACTTATGAGGCCAAGAGTACTTTGAATCTAATACCATAGTATAAATTGCTTTTGTCTAGAATTAATCACTTTCTTTGTAATTTGGAGAGAGTTGAGTAGTACATAGTTCTATTTTTCTGTACTTCAGTGTCCATCTCATCCTTAATCTTATTTCTGCTTTATCTTTCAGCCCTTTGCACATGCTCACTGCTTCAGCCAAATGATATGACTATGTGATACATATGTATGACTTATACTTTATAATATTTCTCATTTGTCTACTATTGGTTTTACAATGTGTGTGATCTTTTAATCTCTACTTACACATTCTATCAGCTTTTAAAATAAATGAAGCACATTGAAACAACAGCTATTATTCCAGTGAGACACTCACATGTGTGGAGCTGCAAAGCGTTTTTTCCTATTTACTAAAATGGTCAATTTTCTCTCACACAATAAAATTTTAGTGTATTATTGGCATAGATAATCATCTTGGATACATATATGCATATAGATGCATATATGTTGCATTTGTTTATATACAATAAATATGATCACATATAGTTGCTGTAGAGATTATTTTATCCACATTGACAATATCATTCACTCTAAATAAACCATGGCCTGAGGAACGTCACTATTAATGAAAAGCAAGTATAAACTAAGGATATTTTCATAAACTTTATCTTCTTTGTGCTTTCTATTTGAACTGTAGTCCTAAATGAACAATAAATGAAAGAATGAAACAAGTAGACTTCTCTGTCCCTTGCTCTCATGTGCTTTCTAGTGTGATCCTAAGTATGACTCGTGGATCTTTGCCTTGTCCATTCTACTCAGCAGTACCTTTGTCTACAACAGCATGGGAACCATCAACCAGCAAGCCCTGGACCAGCTGCAGTATCCTTCCTGGAAAAGAATACTCATGCTGTATTGAGTTTAGGAAAATGGCAACTAACCCTGTTTCTTTAAGTGACTCAGTTTTCCTGGTTGAGAATGGGTACATTACACAAAATGGAATGTTATCAATGGGTTTGTTGGTGAGATCTGAAACTTGTTTATGATGTATGGTGCTTTTCATTCCTTAGTTAAAATCCCAGCTATGTTACTGAACTAACAGAGCTAATCAAGGCAAAGTCTACTAAGAAGTCTGATGAAATGGATGACTCTGATGAATTTGTGAGTTTCTTTCCAGACTTTGTTTGGGTTGTTAGGGATTTCATTCTGGAGCTGAAGTTAGATGACCAGCCCATCACAGAGGATGAATATCTAGAGAATGCCTTAAAGCTTATTCCAGGTATCAGAGGGACGCTCGGGAAGGGGAAAGGTTCAGTAGGGTTATGGTATATACTAAGCCCCTTTAATCTGCATTGGATGTGCATGCTTATTTGAGATTGGATTGTGCTACAATATGATACACTAATTTTTGAAAGGCGACTAATTAGTTTTAAAAATACTACTCTTTAAAAAATTACATTTTTTACTCTTAAAAATTACATTTAAAAAATGTAATGTCAAATTCCACATTATAGTCCTCTAGTATCATTTATGACAACAATTCTCATATCTAAAAAAGTTAAATATATTTCAGTTGACAATTTTATTAAACACTACATGTAAACCAATGTTTTACAGAATTTAACAATTCTCATAGATGATATGTCATAGAACTTGAAGTTTCAAAATAAAAACCAACAATTCTTTCTAATATGTTGTACCTGAACATTTGAAATAACATGTTGTAGTGAAATAGTTCATCAACAGAACCATATACAAATATAATACTCACAAAATATGTTTTAGAAAATGTTTTGGTTTTTCATCTGAACAATTAGTAAGTCCACAGACACTTCAATGCTTGTTCGAGCATTATTGTTTGAAACTTTTCAAGTGGAATATAAAATCACTACAATGGGCACAAATACTGAATCAAATTATTTAAGGCTCATTAACATTATGAAAAATTATGCCTATTATAATCCATCCTATAATGTTGAAAGGTCCATTTGTTAATTCTGGGTTTTTTTGTTTGTTTTTTTGTTGGTCGTGGGGCTTGAACTCGGCCTGGGCACTGTCCCTGAGCTCTTCAGCTCTAGCGGAGTGCTCTACCACTTAAGCCACAGCTCTCCTTCCTAGTAAGTTTTTAAAGTAAAGTTTTTAAAGTTTTATGTGACAAAATTTAAATTGGGTTAGTATAGATTTAAATGTAATAAAATGGGTCAATTTTAAATCAAATTGTTTACTGCCTTGTATTTTACTAGTATGTGGCTCATTGATGTTCCTCAATGGAAGAATATTGTACAGTGAATACTTAAGAAAGAGCCCTGATATTTCTTTTAAATAAGGCTGTCAATCTTTTATTTACATTCCCAATAATATCAGTCTCTTCATTTGTCACCCTTATACTTAATGAATTATATATTTCACAGTTGTTAAATGTACATATTATCAAAGTGGACTGTTTCAGGCACTTGAAAAAACTATCAATATTTTTAGATATTATTTTATTCAGTCTTTCAATATTTATTGATCAATTCTTTTTTATTTTATAGGTTTTTATTGTACAATTACTGTATAGAGCAATTACAGTTACATGAGTAACGTAATGAGTACATTTCCTATCAGGCATTGCTGCCTCCTCCTTTTTTTTCCCCCTACCATCCCTTCCTTCCCACCTCCACAACTGCACTCCTCTACCTCTTCACTCTCCACCCCGCCTAAATTGTAAAGTTTGTTTTTCAACATAGTGTCTTGTACAAAGTGGTTTTTATTTTCTTGCTATTGTTTCTAACGTATTTATAATGTACCATGTAATTTTTTGTTTTTTTGGTTTTTTTGCATGTTCCTGCTCTACAGTATAACCACTGTTCTCACTGTATTTGATGTCCGTGCTCTGCATCTTGTATGTACACTTCTCTAATTTGAAGAGGGGATGGGAAAAAACAAAATGCTTATTGATCATTGCTCTAGTTGTTCACATTGTCTCTGTAAAGCCTAATAGAGTAATTTAGAGAATGAAGAGATATCCATAATACATCTAACTTAATTTTATTCTTTAAAATTTTTAGTGTAAGTAGTCTTTAAGCAATTTGTGGTATGTACTTATACTTGTGAGTGTGTATACATATGCACAAATATATGTATTTGTATATTTATAACAGCTTTTCTGTTTTGACTTGAATATTATGTGTCTTTTTTCTAGTATTTTTCCAGTAGCATCTTACCCTTTGCTAGTATAATTTTATGTCTTAGATTTCATTTCTGACAAAGATACAATAGAATAAGGAAACTGCTTCTAACCATTTTCCTTCACTACTCACTAGTTAAATTCTTAACTCAGGAGAGTTTTGCCAGAACTAGGGATACTAATCAATTTCCTCCTTTTGTGGACTGATAAATGTCTAATCTTCAATTACGTGTTTCCTTTTGCCTCTGTGCACAAGGTTGGTTTGCAATGAAGTATCATTTTAAAGAGATTTTAAGACAGTGAAGTAAAAATCTCTGGCAATGAAAATACTCAGCCCCTTGCCTGATGGCTGCCCTTCCAAAGATAAATTTTTCCCTTTTACTTTTTTATTGTAAATGTTTAAAATGTGTTATTGAATTTGTGTGTTGTCTATAGGCAAGTATCTTAATTTTTCTTAAAGATCAACTTTCATTTATAACTGTTACAATTAGGGCTTGCTACTCTATATTATTCATATATGACTTCATTTTTCACAGACAGTTTGTTATATCCATTATGTCTTTTTTTCCTTTCCTTATATTTTATTTTTTTATTGTGAAAACTTATTGTGAAAGTACAGGGGGGTTACAATTACATGAGCAAGGAAATGAGTACATTTCTTATCAAGCATTGTTGCTCCTCCTTTGTTTCCCCTTCCCATCCCTTCCCCTTTACCTTATCCACACAAGCCCACACCACCCCCCAATAACTAGTTTATGACTGAGGCATGCAGAAACTGTCAGACAAGGTGATGTTAGGTGAAATGAACCCCAAGATAAGGATTCAATTATTTTCTTTCTTGTGATTTTTTCTAACATATTTATAAGATGATTTCTTTGTTGCTTTGTATGTCCCTCCCCCATGGTATAACTCCTGCTTTCACTGTATTCCTTTTATTTTTTATAGGCAAGAATCAGAAAATTCTAAATGCCAACTTGCCTAGGGAGTGCATTAGACATTTCTTTCCAAAACGCAAATGTTTTGTCTTTGATCGACCTACAAAAGAAAAGGAACTCTTAATTCATTTTGAAGACTTGCCAGAAGACCAGCTGGATTGCAATTTCCAAGTGCAATCCAAAAACTTTTGCTCCTACATCTTTGCCAATGCAAAACCCAAGAACTTGAGGGAGGGAATTATTGTCACTGGGAAACGTGAGTCTTCTTTGCTCCTGGATCTACCTCTCTTCTTAATTCCCTTAAGTAATGCTTTGATTACATTTTTGCATTTGTTAAGGGTATAGAAAAATAGTAGTTCATGCTTCATGTAATTTCATCTTTCCTAATTATTGTTTGTCTACATGCAACTTCATTGAGACAGAATATATCTTAAGAAATTATTCCACAGATCATATAAGAGCTGACTGATGCTAAAGGTTAATTCCTGTGTTTTAGATTAAGTCACTTGGGAAGTGTTCTGTATGCATAGAAAAATATTTTGTGAATTTAAACTAGTTATAAAGCATATAAGATGCCAAGTTCCTAAAGGCATATTAGGAGTTTAAAATCAGAATTCAGTTAAAGTCTAGCTACAAAAGTGGCCTCAGAACGTGGACAACATGCACACATGATGTTAAGTTCTGTCATAATGTTCTTAAATTAACATGCAGATTTTCATTCATGTTTAGAATTGGATCCCAAAAGTTAGACAATTTATTTCATTTGTAAACTTCATTCATTTTGCTTGTGTAATCTGCTCTTAATTTTATATGGAATTCTCTAGACAGAATACATTGATCATATTGGTGGTTATTAGTGATTTAAATTATAATGTTTGTGCTGGGATGGTGGCTCAGTGGTAGAGCGCCTGCCATGCATGCATGAGGCCCTGGGTTCAATTCCTCAGCACTACATAAGCAAAAGGAAAAAAGCCGGGAGTGGCCCTGTGGCTCAAGTGGTAGAGTGCTAGCCTTGAGCTGAAGAGCTGAAGGACAGAGCCCAGGCCCATTGTTCAGGCCCCACGAATGGACCCCCCCCCCAAAAAAAGATTAAGTTATAATGTGTGAATTAAGAGCCTGAAAGAAAAAAATAAGAATAGGAAAAAGCAGTGCTGCCAGAAGAAGTAGACTTTGTCAAATAGGATAAAGGAATTTCATATCAGCTACTCAGGAGTCAGTGATTGGGAAGATAACAAATTAACGTTATCTAGGGCAACAAAATAGCAAGAAACTACCTCAATCAGTAAATGGGCATGTTGGCTTGTTCCTGTTAACACAAATATGCAGAAAGCGTAAAAAGGAGGCTCACAATTCATGATAGCACAGGTATATACAAAGGATGCTGTCCTTAAAATAATATCAGAAGCAAAAGTGGGGCTAGGAATGTGGTGTAGTGGTAGAGTGCTTGCCTAGCATGCATGAAGCCCTGGGTTTGATTCCTCAATACAATATAAACAGAAAAAGGCAGAAGTAGCGCTGTGGCTCAAGAGGCAGAGTGCTAGCCTTGAGCAAAAGAAGTTCAGGGTTCAGTGCCCAGGCCCCGAGTTCAAGCCACAGGACTGGAAAAAAGCAAAAAGTGTTGGTGGTGTGGTTCTATTCATATAGCACTTGCTTAGTGAGCTTGAAGCCCTGTGTTGAAGCCATGATATCACCAAAAAAGTGTGAAAGTTGTTTAAAGTCTTAATGTTTTTCAGAATGCTAATTTTAGAATAAAATAGAAGTGTAGCTTGACGTTTATCCTTAAATTATTGGGCTCATCCAGGACTGGGGACTCTGGTGGAGACTTATGTCAGTGCTATCAACAGTGGAGCAGTGCCATGTTTGGAGAACGCTGTGACCACCCTGGCCCAGCGAGAGAACTCAGCAGCTGTGCAGAAGGCAGCCGACCACTACAGCCAGCACATGGCTCAGCAATTGAGGCTCCCCACTGAGGACTTCCAGGAGCTGTTGGATGTGCATGCGGCCTGTGAGAGAGAAGCCATTGCAGTCTTCATGGAGTTATCATTCAAGGATGACAAGTGGGAATTTCAAAAGGATCTGATGGTATAATGTCTGCTCCTGGTCTGTCTTTCCTGACATCTTCCCCTTTTGAGACAATGCTTATGCTCATCATTTTAATCCTATTGATCATTTCCTGTGTGTATTTTTAGAAGCCTGGAATTTTATGAGTGTCAGCATTCCTGTAGGTTGATGGGTACCAGACATTTACCTTTTATTGTTGCATAACAAATTACAATAGGCTGGCAAGTAAAAAACCCAGGCACCAGTGACTCATACATTAATCCTACCTCCTCAGAAGACTGAGATCTGAGATCATTGTTCAAAGCCCATCTGGGTAGGAAAGCCCATGATCCTCTTATCTTCAATTAAACAGCCAAAGTATAGAAGTGGAGACATGACTCAAATGGTGCTAGCCTTGAGCAAAAAGCTCTGGAACAGAGCCCAGTCTCTGAGTTCAAGCCTCAGGAACAGCATTAAAAGAATCAAATGTGCATTTATATTTTTATTCCATACCATTGGATAAATATGACATATGGTTCTGTATGTCTTATATAATCAAGTACTTATAACACACAGTTGCTATATATATATATATATATATATATATATATATATATATATATATATATATATATATATATACAAATGCAATACAGTCCTGTTTATCTTACGTATTGTGTGTGGATGTGAGATAAGCCAACAAGTGCTCGGCTCAGGACACCCAAAGGAGGTCACAACTTCAGACTCTGCAATCAATTTTCTGTCAGGATAAAACCACTTCACACTCTTATGTGCACATTGCAAGAATTAACAAATGGTTCGAAAACCATGAACATATGAGAAACTTAAGAAATACTGCAAACTTTTTTTTAATGCATTCCTTTTCATTCTTGCAATACACATCCTGAGCTTACTCTCCTTTTAGACACATTCACTTGCTATAGCTTCTTTTATGGCTTAATTGTTGTTCATCACTGGGCTGTTGAAAGAATTGTGTGGGGCCTGTACTTGAATCCCATCATTTTACAGAGAATGATCCAGGCTCTCAGAATGTTCAGGGACTTACCAATATTACTCAGTTTCCAGAAGTGATAATGGCTCCGTCCCCTGTCCCCATGTGCTCCGAGGCCTTCACCTTACTTCTTCCATGAAGATCACCATGGAATTTCTTTCTAATGCCTTCATTGTACTGTCTTCCTATCGTCTTAACAGAACACCATAGAGAGAAAGAAGGATAATTTCATCCAGCAGAATGAAGATGCATCTAGCAAATACTGCCAGAAGGAGCTGAAGAAAATTTCCCAGTCTTTAATGGAAAGCATTTCCAATGGCACTTTCTTTATACCTGGAGGGCATAATTACTACTTGGAAGGCAAGAAAAAGATTGAACAGGACTACAAGCTATTGCCCAGGAAAGGGGTAAAGGTGAGGAATAAGGGGATGAATTGCAGTTAGTCAGAGAATCTCATTTATGTATTTAGCTGTTTATTTATTTATATTTTGTTAGTTGTGGGGCTTGAACTCTGGGTTTGGTCTCTGTCCCTGTACTCTTCAGCTCAAGGCAAGTGCTCTACCGCTTGAGCCACAGCGCCACTTCTAGTTTTCAAGTAGATGTTTGGAGGTAAGGGTCTCATGGACTTCTCTGCCTTGGCTGACTTTGAACCGTGATCCTCAGAGTTCAGCCTCCTGAGTACCTAGTATTACAGGCATGAGCCATCAGCACCTACCTGCATGGGAATCTCATTATTAAAGAACACAGAATCATTTGTGAGAAGAAAATCTGCATTTCCCTTCTATATCCACAATTAAATATTCTTCCTTATACTTCCAGAAACTTCCAGATAGAGTAGGATTTTTTTCATAGATCAAAGCCTGCAATTGTTTCTTAATTAAGTTGATGAGATTTAAAAATTAAATATACCCTTTGTTCTATTCACAAGAAACATAGTCTTGCCACAGATACAAATAGTAAATTGAATTTAACAAGATAAGGTATGTCATGCTGGCATGAACACCGAATAAAAAATAATGGTGGGATTAATATGGTAACAATATTAGTGTTAATAATGCTCACACATATTCAAAATCATATTTTATTTTTCATTTTGGGTTTTTTCTTTTGTTTAATTTAACACAAGGTGTTTCATGTAGCTTAAGGCTGGTTCCAACCCATATCATTTCCACTTCAGCTTCCACAATGCTGTGATTAGAAGTATGTACCACTATGTCTCAATTTCGACACCCTATTTTGTATCATACTCAATAACCTTTAATTTCAGGCTACGTGGACAACTATAATTTAAATTTCAGAAATATCTATAAGTTACTACTGTTATCCAAGTTTTGTAGTTGAGAAATATGAGGCATAAGGAAGCTAATAAGTTGTAAATTCCTAGAGCCTGTACTCAGGAAACCTGGTATGCAGTTCATAGGATAGCCATACAGAACTCTGGAGTTAGTTCAGGAAAGATTTCTCCAAGAATAGAATGAAGGTCAAGATGAATTATCAGAGGATTCCTTGTATTTTAAATAAAAGAATACAGGTATCTTGGTAGAAGAATAGAATGTAGGGATATATTGTTTATTTTTGTGGTACTGGGTTTTGAACCTAGGAATTCTTACTTGCTCAGGTAGTGCACTCTCATTGGACCCACGCTTTTAGTTTGGCTCTCTGCTGGTTATTTTGGAGAAAGCGACTCATGGATTTTTCTGTCTGGGCTTGTTTCAAATGAGGATCCTCTGTATCTCAGTGTCTAACTAGTTATGATTTGTAGGCATGAGCCACCAGTGCCCAGATAGAGAGTATACACTTTAGGTACATATAAATCTCATTGATATCTTGGAAAAGCAATGGATTTCTCTGTTGCAAAAGAAATAAAAGGCTTGAATCTGGGTGCTGGTATCTCATGCCTATAATCCTAGCAAGTATACACACATATATACATACAAACACACACATATATACATATATATATATATATATATGTATAATCTCAGCAGGCTGAGATCTGAGGATAGGTACTGTTATCTCCAATTAACCACCAGAAGACTAGAAGTAGCACTGTGGTTCAAAATGGTAGAGTGCTAGTTTTGAGCACAAAGATCAGGAACAACAGCCAGGCTGTTAGTTCAAACCCCACAATGAATGAAAAAAGGCTGGAGTGCTAAGGCAGAGGCTGGTATAAAATGTTTCTAAGCACTACAAGAGAGATTGGCTTTGGTATTATGGTTTCAGAAGGAACAGACACAGAGGACTCTAGAAGACAATTGAAATTTTACAGGATTTAGAAGGAAATAATTTCTGCAACAAAAGAATAAACTTTTGTTGTTTGACATATTCCACTTGTTTATTGGTTTCCTAGGCAAATGAGGTTCTCCAGATCTTCCTGCAGTCCCAGGATGCTATAGAAAAATTGATCCTACAGTCAGACATAGCTCTCACTGATGGAGAGAAGGACAGAGCAGGTACTGGGCAAGGTAACACTTTCAGAAGAGGGGGTTGTTTCCTGAAAACCTTAACTGATGGACATGAAGATCTTTATGAAAGGAGCTTCCTGTTCTACACTGGAATGTACAAGATGCTAAATCTGAAAAATAAGAGGTCAGCTCTAGTCATAGCCAGTGTGGCAACACATTTCCATGTCATTCTCACATGTGCCTGGGTTTGATCATTGGAAAAATTCAGAGACAGTTTGGGTTCTGATCCCAGTGGGTTAGGGTTAAGGCTTGATTCTTGTTGTTTTCTTCTCTAAAACCAATGTGGAATAGCTGAGCGAGCTGCAAAGGAAGCAGCTGAGAAGGAGCTGGAGGTGCTAAGACAGGAACAGAAGGAGCAGCAGCAAAAGATGGAGGCCCAAGAGAAAAGCTACAAGGAAAATATGGCCCAACTACAGGAGAAGATGGAAAGGGAAAAAGAGAATCTGATAAGAGATCAGGAAAAGAAGCTGAAACACAAGCTTAAGGTGAGTCTGGATGGGGCCTGGGATATATCACAAGGATACTTGTGAGCCTGCCTTTGCCAGCTCCTCCCACCTTCTTGAGAGAATCACAGAGAGCTAGGAGCACATCTGTTCTTACTACCCATGAATCAGGAGGAAACATTAGACAAATGTGTCAAAGAACACCGTGGTCTTGGAGTGTGGGGAAAGAGAGACAGAGACAGAGAGAGAGAGACAGGGACATCCTTAGCTCCAAGGGTTGTTAAGGGAAAACTCTGGATATTCAGTAAGTTTTAATTTCAGGGTTTACTTTTTCATTTTGTACATTCAAGAAGAAATGCGTAAAGAAGGATTTAAAAATAAATATGAAGTTATTGGTACACAAATACATCAACTGAGAAAGGATATTAAAATAACCAAGAAAATGAAGCTACGGTTTCAAAACTTGTTGGATGGCTGGGAGATATGCTTCTCATATCAGTGCCACAACCACTTACTAAGTTAGTTGGTGCTTTTTATAAAGGGATACCCTACACAATGAAATAAACTACAGATTTCTTTTAAGAATTAAAAAAGAAATCCATTCTTTTGTCTGAATCTTAATTTCATGTTGATATCATGATATTTTTTAAAAGGTCAAATCAAGGACACAAGAATGGAGGGATGATGAGCAAATGCAGTCATTATATTTAACATACATTATATTAAAAATGAACAATGTAATTTTGTGTAGGGACCAGAGGAATAAATAGGGAGAAAGTGAAGGAAGGGAAAACATTACCCAAGAACTCTTGTACTCATAACCTGAGTTATAGAACTGTGACACATTTGAACAACTCTTTAATAACAACAATAAAAATTGAGTTTATAAATAATAAAAACAAAAATATATAGACTATTAATTATCTCAATAGAAATGAAAAAAGTAACTTGAATATATTAAAGCTTCCTGTACAATACCTGAACATAATATCATTCATATTAGTGTAACTAATAAGCTGATTAGAAAACATACTGAAAGAAAATACTAGCCTATGTAAATACCAAAATTAATGATAATAAAAACTTTTAAGTAAAAAGTTGTTCCTAAAAAGGTACATGAAATCCTGTAGAATAAAAATCAGAAAAACTCTTTAAATTATTACTAAAATATTAATTTTAGATTGATAGGATCAAAATGTAGATGATTCCTTAATCAATATGTCAATATACAGTGATTCAAAGAAATATGTAACACAAATTTTTTGGAACTATATTTTAATATTTATATATCAGATTACAAATATTCAAATTCCCTCAAGAAGCAAAAACCAAAATTCAAAATGAACCCAAGAATTGTATACTCAAAAGTGGTGAGGTGAATGGGACATAGGGTAGATTAATGAACAGGAGAAGAGAGGGAGAATGCAGTCAAGAATGTAATGTATAACCACAAAATTAAAAAGAATAAGAGAAGGGGGGTAAAAAAAGGAGGATGAGAAAAGGATAAGAAAAAGAGGGTGACATTGATCAAGATATATTTTGTTCAGAAACTTCTCCTTTGTACAACTACTTAAACATAATAATAAAAAGAAAAAGTATGAACAAAACAACCAAGGATATTCTAGAAAATGAAAAGATGGATCAATTAGAGAGCAAAAGTTCCAACCATGTTGTAGAGTCCAACCCATAAATAGCATAATGACACCAGCCTCTGAATATTTTTATTGGGGTAAAAAACAAAATCTAGGAGTATAGGTATTGTAGAATCATGTATGCAATGAATTTCAAATTTTGTTTGGCCAAAACAAATTTAAAAATCTCTCTATATTAGTACGTGTGTGTGTGTGTGTGTGTGTGTGTGTGTGTGTGTGTGTGTGAATGTATAAATAACCACACTATGGAGAGGCTTCAAAAAAGAAATCTACACAGTTATGTCATTAGATAATTAAATAAGGATAGTAATTTTAAAAATCAGTGCTATAAATAACATCCACATTGAAATAATGGAACAAATATGTAAGAAGGAATTGAAGTTTCATTGCAAATGAGCTGTACAAAACAAATTTCTGAGATGCCAGTGCCCACTATAGAGCAGGCAGGAATAACAGATTTGGTTCTGATTTGACCCTGGGTTGGCAAAGATTTGGGGGAACAGGAATTACTTTCTCATTGCTGGTGAAAGTGGTAATGTGATGTACACTTGTATTTTAAAGGGTTAAATGCAGAAGCCTGTGCTCCATTTCAGAATTATGTGGTAGATTGCCCCTGTGCCAACATACATACAAAGGCATATGTTTTCTGGCAGACAATTGGATATACCTTTTTGTCTGGTATTAGTATGGTTCTCCTGCCATGTATATGTTTAGTATGATACTGACTTATTACTTAGTCAAAAAGAAATAAAGATGAGAACAGAAAACAAAAATTAGCAAACATTTTCAGGATTGAAATAATCCCACTACAAGATGGACTATTAATGCTGTGGAAAATGGCACCAGTCAGTTCAACAGGAAGAGTGTTGCTATCACTAACACTGAAGAAACACAGGTCTGCATCCTGATCTTTCTTTCCATATGTATTCTGTATAAAGCCTGGGATGATGACTACAAATGGTTTTCAAATTCCAACCCCATTTGTATAAAGTTAGTGAATTAGAAGAAATCCTTCTCTTCAGGTCCAACTCAGAGATTTTTGATCCCTCTCAGATGTTTTGCTGAGTACTTTGATGAACTAAACCTGTGTCCGTTGGATATGTTATTTTTGGATTCTAGGATTTTTCACACAGTATATCAACTTCTTTAAGTAACCCAGTTTTCATATCTAAATTGTGTCTTTTCCAGAGATTGTTCCTCTATATGTTCTCCTATTTCAAACCTTCTTGAAGTGGATGGGGTATCCTCCTTGCATGATCCTTAAAGTATGGTATCAGAAATTCTTTCTTGGAACTGTAAAAATGATACTACACATGCATTGCTATCTCCTCTACTATCACTTAATCCCATGTATTTGGTCTTGATCACTATTTATTTTTAATGTCTAGATACTCTTAAGAACATAGACACCAGGTATTCCAGAAAGCATTTTGAGGCAAGTGCTCACTGAAAAGCCAGAAAAGAACTTGACAATAAAAGACAACCATAGACCAATAAAGTACTTGCTAAACAAATTCAACAATACATCTAAAACATCATACACCATGCTCAACTTGGTTCCAGCTATGTAAAATTGGTTCAACATATACAAATCAATAAATGTAATACAGAACATAAACCTGATTAATGACGAGAATCACAATCATTAATTGATGCAAACAAGGCCTTTGAAAGAATTTGAAATCCTTTAATGATTTAAATTCAGAAGAAACTAGTAATAGGAGCATTCTTTACCATAATAAAGGTTTTATGTGACAACCAACAGCCAATGTTATAGTAAATAGGGACAATTTAACTTATTTCTCACTTCCGTTTTTGGTTGATCATGGGGCTTGAACTTAGCCTATTTCTTATAAAATCAAGAGTGAAACAAAAGTGTCCATCTCTCTACATTAATTACTATAATAAGAATTCTAAGCCAGAACAATAAGACAAGAGAAAGAGATAAAAAGGGATCAAAATAGGGAAAGAAGATGCCATATCATGCCTGTGTAAAGATCATATAATACTATACCAAAGGATTCTAAAGCCTCCACATGGTGGGAACCTTGGAACCCAGTGTCAGCTATGACTGGGTACAAGAAGTGTGATTGGATGGTATGTGGATGTAAAGAAAGGGTGATGCTATGTGTGAATGAATTAAGAAAATGTTATGCACAATTCAGCTATAATGAAGAATTAAATTACATAATTTGTAAAGAAGTGAATAGATTGGAAAAATGTCATATTAAGCAAAGTAGGAAAAAGTAGGCATATTTTCTTTTATATGTGGATGCTAGGCTTAAAAGATAAATATACATGTAAACACATAAAGATGATAAAAATATAAATTCTGATTATATATACACATATACCCTTTAATCACTATACATATCTCTCACAGAATTTGTGAAGGACAATTAACATGCTAGTTCACAAAAGGAATATTAGTAAGTTGAAATTTGTTCAGTCTGAGATGTCAGGGAGAGTGAGTAGGTGAACACAGAGAGGGAACGATAGTGAATGGGGTCAAATGCTTAATGTTCAGGTATGAAAATGGAACAGCGAATCTTCCTGAGATTGGTTTGCAAAGGAAGAATGCTGAGGAGAGAGAATAACAGAAGGCATGACTTTCACCAAGACCTATTGTACACATAAATAGACCTATTAAAATAGAATCCCTTTGTACAACTAACAGGCTACTAAAAGGAAAACTGACTGAATAAAAACTTAGTTTATCATGTAATAGGGCCTAGTTTTATCTATCCTTATTGTCTTAGTTGCTCTTTGAGTTCTTAAAACACCTGATCCTTGCACATGCAATTAAAGGAGCAGCCCCATGCCCTTTGAGGACAGACACTATGTATGCTCCAAACTTCTCTCACCTGTCACAGATATCCAACACTTAGAAGCCATCTCTGTCTCACAGCTGAAATAATTGTTATGTTTAAATGGCAAAGGAAGTGCTATAATCATGTGAACATCCCATTTCCATCATAAGTGTTCTTGCAGTTAAGGGTACTTCTTTGAAATAAAATGTAAGAGTCAGTTTGTAGTGGGAATGCTACAGGCTTGCAGAGTTTTCATGAAATGATGACTGTGTAGGTAATAAGAAAGAGAATGTGCATGTAAGGCAATGTTTATTGATATAGTAGCAATGTGGGAATCAGAAACATACAAAACTTGTTGGCTCTTTCAATGAACTTGATGTAAAACCAATAATTGGTTCTTAAAAGGCCTTGACATATATGAAAGTTTGAGATATGTACTAAATGTTTTAAA